CAGACCGGTTCCCGCTCACTGGCTGAGCAAGGTGGGGGCGCAACACCGAAGGGTTGCGATCCCGTTGCCAGTCCCGGTCCGGTATGGGCACAACACTGAGGGTTGCGATCCGTTGCCGGACACGAAAAAAGACAAAAAAAAGGAAAAAAAATAATAATAATAATAATAATAAATAAATAAATAAATAAACTATCTTCCCAAATGCGCACGACACTGAGGGTTGCGATCCGTTGCCGGACACGAAAAAAGACAAAAAAAAGGAAAAATAATAATAATAATAATAATTAATAAATAAATAAATAAACTATCTTCCCAAATACATCCAAATTAAGCATGAACAGAAGGGGAACAGAGAAAGAAGAATTGCATTTAGCCCATCAACACATCTTCTATATCCCTAAACTCTTCCCTGACTCAAGGTACACATATATTACCACACCAGAAACAATCAGGTCCTAAGTTAGAAGGGACGTAGCTAGCTTTTTTTTTTCCTCCAAAAGTATATAAGACATGGGTTGTGGAAACACAACTCACAAACTCCAGATCTCGATATTTTTTCATTTGTAGAGTTTACAAAAATATAATACCACAACCTAGGCTGATGCCTAAACATGACATAAAAGTCAGTGCAGTTCAATCCCATTATATGGATTTTCTAAGTCTTCTTCTAAATTCCCATGACATTTTCACTGTACCTCTCTTCTAACACTCATCACATTTAGCCAAATGAGACAAAATTCTTCTTTCTGAGCATCTTATGTGTCCTGCAACCAAAAACACCTTGAGGACAGGAGCTGTTGATATCGTAGAAGTGCCTTGTACACATAAAGCTTGCAATATATGTTTTTAACTGGATGAATGAATGAGTACATGGATAAAAAATGAAGGAGGGCCCTGCAACTGGACTGTAACCACAGAGTAAACTGGGAAAGTTCTCATGAGGCTAAGCCAGTGAATCGCCTTCCTAAGGACAACATGCCATTGCTGCCTTTCCCTGTCCTCCATTACTGGCACCAAAATAAACAAATAAATATAAACATATAAATATATGCTTATCTCTATTTGTATGTGTGTCCTTTATTAAGTCTATACAGCTTTTTAATGTCAATGCTATCAGCTCATGTGTCATTTTCAACCTCATGCTTTGCAGAAGTACTTCTGCTAGTCTCTTTTTAATACCCAAATTCACTCCAGGATCTTTCACTCGCCCCATCCCATACATCAATGTGCTGCCCTTCTAAACTCTGCAGACTACAGGTGAGTGTGCAGCTGGAAGACTCTCCCAACTTCATAGCTATCCCAGTGGGACAAAAAGCAAGATTCTTACTGCCTCTGTGCAAATGGGAGGCAAATTGTGTCCTGGTTGGTAACTCCTAAATCACCAGGTGAGTGAAAGTTCCCAGAAGAGACTCTCTCTACTCAAAGATGACAAATATGTGTAGATTCCTTAAGTTAGGTTCTCCTCTTTGGGCCTCGCAAGCAGAAGACTCCGGTCCATGCTGCTTCTGTTCCTGCTTCTTAATTAAGTAGCAAGCCCTTGAATTGCCTGAATACTGGGGATTTAGAGAGTCCCTGGCACATCCAAACTCTGATCTGTAGGCCATCTGTTTCAGAGAATATGAATTCCTCTGTGAGTGCAGAAACACTATAGTCCCCAGAATTTTGTGGTACTGAGGTGGCAACAGTTCCTGAAATTGAGAAGAAAGATAAAGTTGTCAAACTCCTATTAGTTGAGGTTAGTAAGCCTGATTTATCTGATAACCATACTAAGTCCAGAAAACAGCAACGTTGACTGTCTATAATCTTTGGGTAAAACAGAATTATAAGAATAATGTATGAACTTAGTATACTTCACAGCATATGACAAGTTCATGCCTTAAAATAGTCAGTGTTTTGTTTCGTTTTTCCACTTGCCTTTTAGCTCTTTTTCCCATTAGCTAAAAATTGGACTAGATATATCCTGAACCAATTTCTTTTCCTTGGTGTGCGCCTCTCCTGTCTGTTCCCATCACTTCTTTCTCCTTCTTTTCTTAATTATCCTTCCTTATTTCCTTCTCTATCACCTGGGCTCCTCCAAATTTCTCAAACTTTTAGGCCTTTCCTGATGGAATGGAAATTAGAAATCATCTAACTCGCATCCATCACTTCACAAGTAAGGAAGCTATGAATACCTCCTCAAAACTCCCATTTTTTTAATTTAGATGCTCAGTCTCTTCTCATTTCTGACTTTTCTTTCTTTCTACCCAAGACTGAAGAAATCAAGAAGGAATATACCTTCAACTCTTTGTTCTTGCATCAGGTAAGAGTCATTCAAAACAGCAGTAAAAAAGTAATAGCATTTTAAGTTACGATAAATTTTTTCTACGTAAATCATCTAATTTGATTTTTTGCAATATTCCTATAAAGAATCCAGGACACTGTATATCCTATGCCCATTAGACAAATAGGATATCAAGATTCTTAACGATGTTAATATAGTTATCAATAGCAACGAGGGCTCAGCCTAGGACGTCTTAGCTCCTCATTTGTAGCTCTTTTCTTTAAAGTACAGGAACCTCTTCACCCAGCACATGTAAGGGCTTAGAAAGTGGCCTCAGGAATAGCTAGGAAGAGGTCAGAATCAAAAGTTATCTAAACTAATAGGAACAATATATAGAATATTCAGTGAAGGAAATATGTTTCTGATCTTGGAACTTACATAAAAATAAATCCTTTTAAGGATTTTAAAGATATTTCGTACATAAACTGTACTAAATCATAACAATATAGTTACCAAAGTATTCTTCCTCATGTTTGTGATATTATCTGCTCTTTTACCACTTTATGCAAAATTATAAACTAACCACTTGAGATGAGGCTATAGGAATTTACCATAAAAGATCAATCTTCCAATCTTCCACTAAATGTAAACTTAAGAAGGGCAGAGATTTTTGTCTACACTTGTTTATGACTATATTTTCAGTACCTAGAACAGGGACCAGAACAAAGTGGCTGCTCAATACATATTTGTTGAAAGAATGAATAATTTGAATAAAAGTGTTTAGTTCTAAAGCAAACTTATGGATTAAAATATATTATATTAAGGAATTTAACAAAACAAAGATTAGATAAAGATAAAGTGAATCATTTCACCAAAAGTGACACACTAACATTAAATTTATATGTGGTGCATTTGGTAAAATTGTTTTACAATTATTGAAAGTTGTCAAAAGTTTTTGTGTGATGTGCAATGATAATATAGTAATTATCCTGATTTGAGCATCACATATTGCACACAGGTATTGATATTCAATGCTGAACCCCACAGATATGTACAATCAATTATGTTTCAATAAAAAAGCAAAGTTTTTGTGTGAAAGGTAGAAAGTATGCAGATGAATGAGATTCGTTTATTTCTGAAATACCCAAGAGTAGAATAGCAAAAGATATATCCTTACCATTGGTCAATTTGGGTTCCCCTGATACTTCATCATTAAAAACTAATCCACTTACCACCCCTTCCACACACATCTACCCATATCAAGGACTTCCATGAACGCAACATCCTTGAATAGCTAGTGAAATCTACTAAGATCAGAGCAACAGAGAGAAGTGCCCTGGAACAGTAAAGACCCATATTTGGTTTATCCAGTTACTTCTTCTCGCATATTAGGTGTCTGTTCTTACATAAGCTAAAACTTAAGGCAAAGAAATACATTATTTTCACGTGCCTATAAATCAGTTTAAGAAAGCTTCAATAGAAGTAGGATACTGTAGATCACAGAAAACTCAGAGCCTTCTTTTGGGCAGCTGCTGTACAATTCAGTGCAATGAGTAATAAAAGAGGAAGAGATGTAGCTTGGCAAGTGACCCAGTACTAGAAAATGTGAATTTAGAATATTAAAATCAAGAATATTTTCTAAGGAAGTAACAAGTGAAAGTTTAAGGTGCATTCCTAAAACCATTGGCCTTAGGACTTTTCAGAAAAGCACCATCATAATCTTCTATGTATCTGATTTGTTTGCTTATCAAGATGCTTGGATATCTGAAAAATTGTCCCTGAAGCTCCCACCAAAAGTAGTGAAAAAATCAGCCAGAGCTTCTTTCTCTGTTTGGGGGTGAGTCATTGAGCTCCTGGAAGACTTGAGACAACCACTGCCACTCTCTCCCCCACTCTTCTTTTTCAAATATAGCTTTTTAACTATACTTCAGCTTTTCAACTTCTTTCTTATATCTCTATTTTTTCCCTCAGTTTCTACTTGGTTTCCAGCATACCTGACCCTCCACTCAAATTATAATTCCCTCACATCAGCTATCTTTTAGAAGTGACTCTAGGGCTGGCCCGTGGCTCACTTGGGAGAGTGTGGTGCTGATAACACCAAGGCCACGGGTCCGGATCCCTATGTAGGGATGGCTGGTTAGCTCACTTGGGAGAGTGTGGTGCTGACAACACCAAGTCAAGGGTTGAGATCCCCTTACTGGTCATCTTTACAGAAAAAAAAAAAAAAAGAAGTGACTCTAAATACGAATATTATTTGTTTTTGATTATACTGTCCAGTTACGATTTTCTGACTTCTCACTATTTATTTTCAGGTGATATATTAGGTTCTGCCATAAAAAACACACAAAGTCTCCTCCAGATGTTCTATAGCTGTGGAGATCAGAACATGGTACTTTTTGTTCCTAGCATCTATGTACCTAAATATCTGAATGAAACCCAACAGCTGACTCAGGAGATCAAGTCCAAGGCCATCAGCTATCTCAATGCTGGTGAGTAAGGGACAGAAAGAACACTTTGTTGTTGTAAATGTTCTCTCCGCAAATAGGCTTAACATTCAATGGGCAAGAAGAGCAATGCTCTTGGACGGTTTGCATGCAGGAGAAGTCAGGCATGCCAGTGGCCTCTCTGGCTTCTCTGGCATCAACCTACACATGTGAAAGGATCCTGTCTTTCTCTCATGTGTCACTGACACTTCACGAACCATCTGAAACCCTCCATTCCAGGTTATCAGAGACAGTTGAACTACAAACACCAAGATGGCTCCTATAGAACCTTTGGGGACCAAAATGGTGAAGTGCAAGGCAACACGTGGTAAGAAAAGGGCACTACGTGCCAGGCCTTGTACAGTTCTTGTTCCTCATGGCAACTCTGTGAACTAGATATTATAAACCTTGTTTTATAAAGGTGGAAACTGATGCCTAGTGCTATTGAGTAAATGTCTCTATGTTGCACAAATAGTAAGCGGCAGGACTGAGACTCATCTCAAAGTCTTTCTGCTTCGACTTCCAAACACATTTTTTTACTCAACACAGTAAGCTTTTCTTTCTTATGTCTCTGTAAGACCCATCATAAGTAAAAAATCAGGAAACTTTTTTCTTGGCATCCAGAGATGCTTGAAACTGAGACTAGAAAAGGAGTAGCCATTCTTTACACTATCTTCACTAAATAATACTGTTTCTCTGAGTACACAGGCAAATAAGAGGTAATAAAAAGGATATTGGTGGAAGGGGTAGGAAGGAAGCTGTGGGAACCAGGGAGTATTTAATTTTTTGAGGCAGAAAACCTTCCCAAAGGCTTCTCCATATAGCAAGAGCCTCAGGAGAGAATGTTTTTCTTATCTGTAATAGAAAATCAGTGAAAGACAGAAAACCTATCATGAGAGTACAAGCATCTTAGTCAACCACCCAAGTAAGCAAGGTGGAACCTGAATACCTTAAACAATGATAGAGTAAACCAGGATGCACTTGAAACCTCTTTGTCACGGGTTAATGGTAGGTAGAGCCCCCAAAAAAGAGAACAGTGTCCTAGAGTAGCAAAGAGATTTTTCCAGCTCTAAGCACTCAGAACCCCTCATGCTGATTCTGAGTGTTGAGGGGGTCCACATAAAGCCTCTGTGTGGGGAAAACAGGATAACTTAGTCGGGCTCCCTTGGCTCAGGTCTGGTTGCTGGTGGAACAGCACATTTTAAATTCTTTGTAAACAAGTTGTGTGTGGGTGGAGTTACTGTGCATGTGCACCAATGTATCTTTTTAGTTAATTGCTTTTGTGTGTGTTCTTCAGTTTGTGAAGCAGGGCTGGCCATCAGAGAGCTCGTGTCTAAAAATAGAACATGTTTACTCTACTGGCAGCTGCTCAGTTTCAGTTTTTCTTTGGACTTTGCTGTTAGTTGAGTTTCTGAGTTTCTCTGTGAAGTGCTTGGCTCATGGTGTTGTGTATGCTAAATAAAGACTATTCCTTCTTCAACCAAGGCTCTAAGGACCTTTTTGCCAGTTACCTAGCTCATAGACCTGTGTGTGAAGTGTTTGTGAATGGGCTCCAGACCCCAGCTGCAGTTCTACACTCTGCATGTGAAGGTGCTGTGTGAAAACAAATGGCTTCATCACCCAGGCTTCCTCCCCCATTAGTCTCACAGCCTTTGTGCTCAAGTCTTCACCCAACTTGAAGCCTTCATCTTCATCAATAAAGCACACTACCCAAAGCAACTGACAGATTCAATGCAATCCCCATCAAAATACCAGTGACATTCTTCATAGAAATGGAAAAAACAATCTTAACTTCCATATGGAACAACAAAAGACCCCAAATAGCCAAAGCAATCCTGAGCAAAAAAAATAAAGCTGGAGGCATAACACTACCTGACTTCAAATTATACTACAAAGCTATTGTAACCAAAACAGCATGGTACTGGCATAAAAATAGACACTCAGACCAGTGCAGCAGAATTGACAACCCAGAAATCACCCCTCAGGCTTTCGGCCATCTGATATAGGACAAAGACAACAAAAATCTACATTGGGGAAAAGACTGCCTCTTCAATAGTTGGTACTGGGAAAACTGGTTATCCATATGCAGAAGAATGAAACTAGATATGCACCTCTTATCATATACTAAAGTCAATTCAAAATGAATTAAAGACTTAAGTATAAGACCTGAAACTGTAAAATTACTGAGGGACAATATAGGTGAAACACTTCAGGAACTAGGTCTGAGCACAGACTTTATGAACATGAGCCTGAAAGCACAAGCAGTAAAAGAAAAAATAAACAAATCAGACTATGTCAAACTAAAAAGCTTCTACACAGCAAAGGAAACAATCAACAGAGTGAAATGACAGCCTACAAAGTGGGAGAAAATTTTTGCTAACTATGCATCTGACAAGTGATTAATATCCATAATATACAAGGAACTCAAGCAATGACACAGTAAAAAAACAAATAACCCAATTAAAAAGTGAGCAAAGGAGCTGAATAGACATTTTTCAAAGGAAGACGTGCAAATGACCAACAGGCACATGAAAAAATGCTCAACATCACTAGTCATCAGGGAAATGCAAATTAAAACTACATTGATGTATCACCTCACCCCAGTTAGACTGGCTATAATCAAAAAGATGTTGAATAACAAAAGCTGACAAGGGTATGGAGAGAGGGGAACTTCTACACTGCTGGTGGGACTGTAAATTAATACAACCACTATGGAAAACAGTATGGAGGTTTCTAGATATATCTTCCATATGATCCAACAGTCCCACCTTTGGGTATATCCAGAGGGATGGAAATCATCGTGTTGATGGGATACCTGCACTCCCATGTTCATTGCAGCTCTGTTTACAATAACCAAGACATGGAAACAACCTAAATGTCCATCAACAGATGATTGGATAAGGAAACTGTGGTATGTATACACTATGGAATACTACTTTGCCATAAAAAAGAATGAAATTCTCCCATTTGCAATCACATGGATAAGCCTGGAGTAATTTATATTGAGTGAAATAAGCAAAGCACAGAGGGATAAATACCACATGTGCTCACTCATAAGTGGGAGCTAAGAGAGAAAGAAGGAAAGAAGAAAGACAACATGGTGTGTTAGACTTGCAGAGGGAGAGAACATACCTAGAGATACAAGGTGGAGTGGGGGGGAGGGAAAGGGGGTGGGAGGTTGGGGATAATTGGGTGGGGGACATGGGGTACAAATGCAATTTGTGGTAATGGGCATGCTGCCACTATGAATCTAGCCTTCACATCTAGGGTACGAGGGGTGACAATCAGCTCTGTATCTCATGAATGTTCATAACCAATAAAAAAAACATGATGGCAATTTTTCTGGGAGTGATAAAAACTGAGGATACAAAGTTCAGTTGAGACTGATTTACCAAGACTCTTAAAAGAAGTCTGCATTGTATCCTATAGGAATAGTAGTAGGAAGCCATTGAAACTTTTTAAAAACAGGTTAGTGATTTGGTTTAGGACGGTTTATTAAGGTTCTTCACTGAGACCGGATCAATAGGATATGTTATAAACATATGATTTATCAGGGGAATTAGCTCATGCAGTTATGAAGAAAAGTCCCATGAGAGGCCAACTGCAAACTGGGTGCCAGTAGCATGGCTCAGTCCAAGTCTGAAGGGCTCAAAACCAGGAATGCCAATAGTGTCCTTGGCTTAAGTCCTGGAACCCAAAAGCTCTTGAAGAATCTCAAGCTCTGATGCCCACAGACAGGAGAGAAGAGTGTATCCCTGAAAGGTACCTTAGCCAGAGGAAGGCCATCTAAGACCTAGCAGAAAATTTCAGTTAGCCATTAACTTGGGAGCTGATAATCATCAATTTCTGAGGTTGGTACAGGAAATAAGAAACTGACTATATGGTTAAAATTGCCCTGAGATGACGGCTCCAAAAAGATCCTTCTCACAGTTTTATTTCTGTCTACCTCCTATTACACGCTTTCATGCTGATTTACTTTAGATGTTGTACATCTAAAATTAAGTATTGAAAGTAAGTTTTCTTGTTTTTCTTACCTCCCTAATCAATCGCAAACAGAGGAAATACAAGAGAGAGACTAAGCGCCCTAGCTGACTGCTAACTCACCTTCTTGCTTAAAGAAAAAGTGCATCCACATTAGTTAGGGGTCCAGGTCAAGAATTTTTACGTTCCAGTGGTGTGTGACTGAGGTTATTGTCTTTGACCTCTCCCTAGGTAAGGACCCCAGCTCTGAAATAACATCAGGGGCTTGAAGCTGACCAGTCCACCGACTGCAGACTCCATGACACCAAAGTACCCAGTCCATTATGGGACCCTGACATCTGATTCAGACCCTCTACTGATGCCGTGACCAGCCTCCACCTTTTTCCTTCAGAACAAAATCATTACCTCATTTTCCTACCTCTTCCCCTTTATAAACCCCAGAACAGGCATCAGAAGGCAGGACGAGTTTAGCCTGGTCATCCCCCAGATGCCAGTTATCTGAATAAACCTTCCAATCCTTGAACCAATTTTAGACTTTCAGATCATTCGTTTAGTGCAAGAGGGCAAGCCAAGCCTGATTTCTGGTAACATCCCAGCTCCAGTTGATAGAGAGCAAGCTTCACCTTTTTCTCTGCTTTTTGTTCTCTCCAGGCCCCTAGTCGATTTGATGGTTTCCATCGATATTGACAGTGGATCTTTCCCATCCAATCCACTCAGGCTGTCATGCTGATCTCTTCTGGAAACATCCTCATGGGCACACTTAAAAAGATAGCTTTACCAGTTTTCCCAGCATTCCTTAATCTAATCAAGCTGACACCTAGAATTAACCTCCATAAATGGTAACAAGTGGCAAAAAACGGGGTATAGTGGGAGAGACAGGTGGCAAGGAGATTATTACAATAGTTGTATTTCTCAGGAAAATTTTGCCTGGAAAATGGTCTCTGAATATATTCTACTTCTTAAAAATGTATTATTTAATTGGTTTATTTGGTTTTTTACTGTAAAGCTGTTTGTTCTCCTTGTATATTCTGGATATTAATCCCTTGTTGGATACACAGTTCACAAATATTTTCTCCCATTCTGTATGTTGTCTTTTCACTCTGTTGATTGTTTTCTTTGCTGTAAAAAGCTTTTTACTTTGACATAATATCACTTGTTTGTTTTTTTCTTTTGTTGCCTGTGCTTTGGGGATCTTATTTACAAAGTCGTTGCCCAGTCCTACATCATGGAGTGTTTCTCCTATGTTTTCTTCAAGGAGTTTTAAGGTTCTAGGTTTTATATTTAAGTCTTTAATCCATTTGAAGTTGATTTTGGTATGTGGCAAGAGATAAAGATTTAATTTCATTC